GCATTAGGTCCAAAATGGAAAGAATAAACAGATGTTCCTTTTATGGTATGTTCAACATAAAATATCAGGTAATCATTGATCCCCAGTCTTCAAACAAAACTCCCATTGATCTCAATGGAAGATCAGTGAGTGGAATGAAGACAAATTCATGCTGATTTGATTGAAATCTAAGTTTCTATCAAATGAAATTGTGATCAAAGGGATTATTATTGGAAGGCTTTTGTTTAAAAAAATAATCTGGTTCCCTGGCTGATGAAAGGGATGAATTAGAAATAGTAAAGAGAGAAGACTGAGTTTAATTTCCTTTATTATAGAATATAAATGTAGCTTTAAACTGATTTAAAAATAGTTTCATAATTTCAATGGATTTTTAATTAATTAATTTCTACAAATATGTGAGAAAATATTATAAGAACACTTTATTGCCCATTCTTCATAACAAACAGAACTAATTCCTTAGAATAATTACACAGCAAAAGGAAGATTTGGTCAAGAAAAGAACCCCAAAGGGAAATTCTGGCCCTATTGAAAACAAGAGGAGTGTTCCCATTAAGTTCAATAGGGGCAGGATTTCACCCCACATGTTAACTTCTCACAACTAACTTTGAAATCTTCATAGCTGCCAGTCACATCACTTCTTCCTCATTCCTTGGAACTATTATTCACATTTTAACTCTGCCCTCAAGCAGTTATTCCATGTTGGGTGAAATTCTCCCTGTCCAGAGGGCCAGCACAAAGCCTATGCTCCACTTGAGCCCTTATGCAGGGATGAACTTCACACTTGTTGAACCTGCCTTAGAGCGGGTGTTTATCCAAGCCTCGCCTCAACAGGCGTATCACTGGAAAGCCGTACAATGTTTCAAACCCTCATAAGGTAATATTTTACCTTCATGCCTATATTTTATAGTGTATGTTGAATCTTGTTTTGTCTTATGAAACAAGAATAACGCTTATGACAAAGGTGTCTGCTTGTAACAAACAGATATGGCCATGAGCACATTCCTCATTTTCACTTTGGGATTTAATCCTCCTCCAAGCTATTTATTGCTTCATATATTCTTCTGTCATGAAAATTATCCCTAAAGTCACTACCAAATGGAGTCAGAGCACTGGGCCCAGCAGTGATAAGGGTAGGGACGCAGCACATTGTTAAGAAATATGATCGGGAGATAATACATCAAAGCAACAGCTTGGATCACTACATCTATTTTACAGCATTGGATGAATTTGGGAGCATGGAAAGTTATATAATTTTTTAAAAAATGTCTTTGTAATAGGGACCTTGATAGTTTCTCATTATATTTTCTGAGCACTGGAATTTCCTTATGTTACCTGCAAATGGAAACTCCCAGTGCGATATTACTTGCTCGTGTCAGAAACAATAAATTAAATGGTATCATTTATTTACTTGCTCCTAGTCTTGGGAAATCTTCCAACTCCTGGGGCCAAAGGGTAAATAATTTACTGTTTTCAGCATCCCAAAACCCCAGACAGTGATGCTTCAACTTTTACTGTAGCTTACAACAGCATCTAAGACTTTGAGTTTCATCTTTTGAAATAAGTATACATATGCATTTCTTAGACTTTCATTTTAGAAAAACAAATAGTGTGCAATACTGCTTATATAGTTAAAAATTGCATTTGCTCAACTAGTGAACATCTTGAGTTTTAAAGTATGAGAAATAAAATATTGAAATAAAGTATATGTGTTATCAGCAGAAAGGTTTACTTTGGGTTTCAGTGGCAGGGTTTACAGTTCTGAAAAATTTCTAGGCAGGAAGTATCCTGCCTTCATGATCATTGATCAGCGATGGACAATTTTGTCCTGATAAAGTAATGCTTAGAACTTAATATCCTTGATAGAGATGATTATATGAGTGAGGGTCTGTGAAGATCACTCTCAACTTGTTCTCTGCAGCTTAGATTAGTGTCTGGGGCCCTATTCTCTCACCACAGAGCCTGTGTAACTCCCAGCAAAGTCAATACCTTGTAAGCAATATTCCTAGCCTATCTCACAGAGGGAGAATAAAGCCCTAGCTCTCCTGCTCCTGCAGTTGAATTACATTTCTTAATAAACCTTATAGTGTCTTTCTAATTTGCATCTGGATTCTTTATTACTACACAACTGTAAGCACTCGCATGGTGAAGGTCTGACTCAAGAAAACCAGGTATAGTGGCTATGGTTTGAAAACCCCCACAGGAGCACCATCTACATACACATTCTGTATTATACTCACCTAGTAAAGCATGGAGAAAGTAAAGTACTCATGACTTTTGTTATGGTAAGCAAGATAGTGAAAAGTAATACCTCCCACAATTTGCATAATGGAGTCCTGGCCCGTGACTGGGACTCCTAGGTGCTACGATAATACAAATAATAGGCAGTATATCATCAACTGGTAAAGTTAATACCGTTGGTAGTTTTCGTTATTTAGTTTAAGAACAATCACAAGCTTTGCTTTATTAGCATTTTCATGGGGTGCTGCCTGAATTTGTGTTTATTCATGGGCAACTACTCTATCAGAAAATGGGAGATGCCCACTTCAGCAAATGACAACTTGGCACTCAGTTTTGCCTAGGAATTCACACACTCACCTCCTGTTGATTTCACATCAGAGAGCATGAATTTGTCATTTGTACTACCATGTTCCTCTCTTTGCAATATATTGCAATACTAAATGCAAGCTTGTCCTACTTCTAAATGCAATTAATCATACTGTGAATGATCCAGGCACCAATTCAGGAAGGCACTTAAGCACATGCTTATCTTTAAGCATATACATAAAACCCATTGATTTCAATAGGAAAATGACATGCCTAGAGCTAATTAAGCATTTGCTTTAAGAATAGGGTTACTTTACAGAATCAGGGTGCCAAAAGAACATTGATGTCAGTGGGAGTCTTTCCACTGAATTTAATAGGTTTTGGATCAGGACCATAGTGAACATGGGGAGAAGCAGAGAATCCACAGAACTAGGAGGTAGAACAGCTAAGTGGGAATAAAATAGTGGGGGATCAGCCAGCAGCCGCACTGCGGTTCTGCTCAGTATATTTTGGGAGGAGGACTAGGAAGGAAGCTCTAAACTGGGCTAACCAGGGTAAAAAAAAAAAAAAAAAAAACACAAAACAACACACCTTGTAATTTAGAGCAGCTGAAGGGCTTTTCTAAGCTCTGGCAACTGCAGAGGTCCAATCAGAACTGCTATGCCAGCAAAGAGTATTGGGCAATTCTAAGATGCAGCCCTTCATCTGCTTTGTACTGTCTGCATAGAGCAGAGCAGCTGAAGCTGGGGCCAAGGACTAAGGACTGGAAGTCTAAAAATTAACTAACTGTGAACCTCTCAGTTTGAATGGGAAATGTCAGAATTATGAATCTGGTAAAGAGCCATTTTTGGAGGTATTTCATTGTGAGAAAGATAGTTTTGTTCTTTGCATTTTTAACTATTATTATGAATATTAAAAAATATACTTTAAACCACTCATCTGAAGCCATCCTTTCCCCATTTCTAAATAGCTTCTCATGTCTGTGCCAGATAGGACATCTGCTCAGAAGAGCTAAACTGCAAGTGGAGGATTCTAAGAATTGTTTCAATTAGTGTAATCTCCCAGTCACAAACACTACAATCTTTATCATGGGGAAGGGGGGTTATTTAAGGTAATTTCCATTCATTATAAAGATTTTATTTTTAAATGCAGCTAAATCACATTTAAAATGCCTCAAATATTTTGCATGCATGTAGCATTGTATATTCCCTTAGTCACTATATGTCTACACGATGATATTTTTAGTATTTTGGTATAATTGGCTATTGATGGCACGGGTAGAAATGAAAATAAGTCTACATTAGAGGCAATGGGAATGACCAGACAATCAAGACAACATTACAATGTGGCCAGGCTTCATCTACTTCAGCAAATTTTGTGGCTATAATTCACTTCCAGTGCAGCTCCTGCAGCAGAAGTTGTAATGTAGGCTTCCATGACATGGTAGTAAAAATGTCTGAGCCCTGCCTATGCTACAGCTTCCACTGGTTAGAATCCACCCCTTACAGCTGCTTGTTTCAGTTAATTCTTGCAAAGAAATGTATTTTAACTAAGTGGACTGACTCAGCTCCCTCCCTTGATCAGTGGATAGCCTCCATCAAGTAATACATGGAACAAATCACTACCTATCATGCTTATACGGCCCCCATCACCACATTATTTGAACATCTCACAATCTTTAATATATTTATCCTCACAACATCCTTGTGAGGTAGGGAAGTGCTTTTATCCCAGTTTTACAGATGAGGAACCAAGGCAGAGATACTGAGTGACTTTCCCACAGTCATCCAGGAAGTACACGGCAGAGCAGGGAATTGAACTTAGCTCTTCAGAGCCCTGGGCCAGTGCTCTAATCGCTAGAGAAGCCTTCTTCTAGCAACAGGCAAAACAATTCTTGAAGAAAATATTAGTATATATTTCCAGGTTTGTACAAAGAAAAGATTAAATTCTTTCCTTATCCATTATCATACCAGATGGACTTATGTAAAGAGTAATTTTAACTCAGTCTTTGAAAGCATGCCCCATACCTCTTTGGTGCTGTTCTCTTTAATGCAGAAGGAAGCAGTTATATATTTCTAACTGTTTTAAACATACTACTGTATATTATCTGCTTACACTGGTATCTGTTTTTAGAAAAGAGTACTTGTAATTGATAAATACGCATGTAATGTCAGTACTGAAGGATTCAGATTTCTGAACAGCAGTGCCTACACATATATTAGTTTAAGGTAACGTATACATTTCAAGTGGTTTACCTGCAGAAATGAACTTTATCTTGTCTGCTAAAGAGTTATAAACACAAAAACAAATAAATTAAGCATTGATAAAGCTGTGCATTGAAAATATTGTGCATTGAAAATATTGATAATCACTATACCACTTATTTGGAACATTAATCATTCTTACATGTCAAATCTCTGCTTTTCTGAACTTTATTTCTATTTTTACCCATTCAGATGTTGCAAGAGCAATTGAATTACTGGAGAAACTACAAGAGTCCGGAGAAGTACCAGTACACAAGCTACAATCCCTAAAGAAAGTACTGCAGAGTGAGTTTTGTACAGCTATCAGAGAGGTACGGAAATGAAAGTCATTTCTTAGCATAGCCTTATTCCTGTCAGCGTTGAAGGAGCAGGAGTGCATTGTCCACCACAGCAAAGGATATGTGATTTGAAGTCATGATGCAGAGACAAAGTGGGGAAAATCCAAAATCCACTGATGTTAAGGGGACCCCTTCAGGGTCTGTACAGAGAAGTGAGGTCATGCTGTATGTGTTAGAAAGTTGTAGCCACTTGCCAGTTCTGAGGACTGGGAACATTACCCTGAGATCTGTGCGAAAAGGCCCTCCTTGCACTCTCCAGCAGTCAGTGATAAATTATGGCTGCCTCCCACACAGGTACACAGAGGGAGAATGTGATCCTTGTTCTCTCATCTCTCCTGGCCCTCCAACTTATCCACACAGGATGTCTCTAAAGCAGTAAAATATGTTCTGGGCTCACAATAGTGAGACAATAGTTAAGGCTGCTTCCGATTTTTTGTTTTACAGAGTTGGTTCCTTTCTGGAACCCTCTTTTGTAAGCATACCATGGGGAACGTGAACCAAATTTCATATATGTAAATGATAATGCTTTATCTTTCACTTTACAATTTCTTGGACAGAAGATACAAATGAAGCTAATCAGTCCAATAGGATTCCTAAATGTTTAGGATTATTTCCCTACTAAACTAAACATTATTTGTATGCAAGACTGAAGTGATTGGAAACATTCTTATGGAGACAACAGTTTACAGCTTGCAACCTGCAAGCCTCTCGGTTCTCCTTTGTGCTTATCTATTTAATGCCTAACACTAATCCTCCTTCAGTGACATCAATGGGAGTTCTATCGTTTACTTCAATGATAGCAGGATTGCACTCTTTGGTATTGAGGCAGCAGAAGTGCATTGATTGTGATTTTTTATTTTCATGAATGGCTGGAAGGAAGAGAAAAGGGAAGGTACATTAGTTTATCGGCAATGTGCAACACACCTTTATTTTACTGAATATGTTCTGCATTGCGAGAAACAGAGAGAGGTTTCCACTTAAATAGCCCACAGTTTTAAAGACTTTTTAGGGCAATACTGTTCCAAGACTGTAAATAATGGCACTCTCTATTCTAAGATGCTGATATCCTGGCTAGTCTTTTCATTTAACTAGCTAAATGTTTCCTTCATTGACAGCAGGAAGCACAGAAGGTTTATTTTTTTATATATACAGCACAGCTTGGCACTCAAGTTATAAAGGGGAGCTTTGCTATCTCTACAATATCACCAATGAAATCCTAGCACATTTATATTCATCAGCAGAAAATATTCTCAACAGCAACAAACATGTAGCTTTTTGAAGAGGTTTGGAGCATAGGAAGCTAGGAAATGGCCTAAATTGTAATGCAGTTCAGTGAACTAAAAATATCTAAGTAGAATTTGACAGGATCATCTATAAGGCATAGTAAGTGCTTTTATGGGCTATTGTGTAAAACCATCCTGTACTAAACTGATTTTTCTTTTACTGTTTTACACTAGTAAGTAAATAATATTCACTTTAGGATATTTATAATTATTTATTTACACAATAGTTGACCGACTCCAAATGAGTGGTCAGGTCAATTGTGCCAACTGTCATAAATGACATTTATTTTCTCTCTCTCTTTTTTAAATATCACTGAAAAAAAAAAGGAAATTCAATTTAAAAAAGCATTTTTATTCATGTCAGTCCTGACTTTCTAGTGAAAACTTTCAACTATATTACATTAACACAAATCTATTCATCTGTTATAGGTGAAGGTGGTAGCTCACCCAATAAATAAGGTTGCGCGACATATCTTATTATAAGACCCTGTTTTAGTTGCTTATACTGTGCCAAATTAATTGTTTGGGCTAAAATTTTCCATTCTGGGTGTCTGTGGCAGGCTGAAGGTTTTCAGAAAGTTTCTGCAAAAATGTTTCCACAATTTCTGAGAATTATATTAGGGGAAAATACGTTGTTTTGCTCATGTTAAAAAATTCTTGCAACTATTTTGTTGAGAAACTCTAGCATCTTCATGCATTGGAGCAATGGCTTGAAATTTAGCAGGAGTTGCCTTTTTGTCAGGGATGTGCCTTTTCCTGTTTCCATGAAAAAAAAAAAAAAAGCCCAAATTTGGGCACTTTACCAGCCCTTGAAAAATCTCAGTTCACACAATGCTCAGCAGAGACTTGTTAGAGTTTGACAGCTAAATTCCCTGAATCATTGCATCTGCATGCTCGAGGGTGGGACGGCAGAGGCAAGGCAGGACTTTCCCTGCAGTTGCTCCTCCTGGTTGCTGGGGGCTGCTGTGGACCCAGGCACAGAGCAGGGAGTCAGTCTCTCTTGTGCTCTCAATGCTCCCCCTGTTACTTGACATCAAAGCAGTGTGGAGGAGGCAGTAAATCCAAGTATTAAGAAGTTGTGAACTGCCAGAGTTAAGGTTCCCTGTGAAATTTTATTTGGGCCTCCAGTCTTTGCACAATCACATTTTTAATAGGAACCCAGTGCACAGGCTGGACCTGCTCTGGGGATGAATCACGGATGTGTAGTGAAGGAGACTGTTGTTCATAAGACCCCCTGCCTCATTTGTTGCCAAAGTTGGTAGGTGTATACCTGTTGTGATTACTGGGAGACAGTGGGCCTAAGCCTGCCCGAACCTAAAAGCCCTTCACCTCAACTGAAGGGAAGGGGCAATTGAACCCAAGCCTCAGTAAATACTGGTGACAACAAATGCAGAAACAGCGATGGGAATGAAGTCAAAGAGAAACAACAAAGGGAACTGGCAGGGAGACTGAGCACACAATGGGGTCATGCAGGGTGGGCAGCCTCATGAACTGGCCGAACACTGCAGGGTCCACCAGTCCCTCCAACCATAGGCCAGGTCTCAGATTCTGATGGTGCAAGCCAGGATCAACCTCCGGTGCACTAAGGGGGACTCCACTACCCATGTGCCTAGATGGGGGTTATATAGCAGGAGGAGATCCTTCCCCTGGTCGCTGAAGCTATTGTCCAGGTCCTGAGGAGGTTCTTGTAAAAATGACCAGGGAGGAGGATAAAAATATTGCTCAGGCATGCAGGAGTGAAATCAGGAAGGCCAAATCACACTTGGAGTTGCAGCTAGCAAGAGATGTTAAGAGTAACAAGAAGGGTTTCTTCAGGTATGTTAGCAACAAGAAGAAAGTCAAGGAAAGTTCGGGCCCCTTCCTGAATGCGGGAGGCAACTTAGTGACAGAGGATGTGGAAAAAGCTAATGTACTCAATGCTTTTTTTGCCTCTGTCTTCACAAACAAGATCAGCTCCCAGACTGCTGCACTGGGCAGCACAGTATGGGGAGGAGGTGACCAGCCCTTTGTGGAGAAAGAAGTGATTCGGGACTATTTAGAAAAACTCGACGAGCACAAGTCCATGGGGCCGGATGCACTGCATCCAAGGGTGCTAAAGGAGTTGGCGGATGTATTTGCAGAGCCATTGGCCATTATCTTTGAAAACTCATGGCGATCGGGGGAGGTCCCGGATGACTGGAAAAAGGCTAATGTAGTCCCCATCTTTAAAAAAGGGAAGAAGGAGGATACGGGGGAACTACAGGCCAGTCAGCCTCACCTCCATCCCTGGAAAAATCAAGGAATCAATTCTGAAGCACTTAGAGGAGAGGAAAGTGATCAGGAACAGTCAGCATGGATTCACCAAGGGCAAGTCATCCCTGACTAACCTAATTGCCTTCTATGAGGAGATAACTGGGTCTGTGGATGAGGGGAAAGCAGCGGATGTGTTATTCCTTGACTTTAGCAAAACTTTTGATATGGTCTCCCACAGTATTCTTGCCGGCAAGTTAAAGAAGTATGGACTGGATGAATGGATTATAAGGTGGATAGAAAGCTGGCTAGATCGTCGGGCTCAACGGGTAGTGATCAATGGCTCCATGTCTAGTTGGCAGCCAGTATCAAGCGGAGTGCCCCAAGGGTCGGTCCTGGGGCCGGTTTTGTTCAATATTTTCAATAATGTTCTGGAGGATGGCATGGACTGCACTCTCAGCAAGTTTGCAGATGACACTAAACTGGGAGGAATGGTAGATATGCTAGAGGGTAGGGATAGGATACAGAGGGACCTAGACAAATTAGAGGATTGGGCCAAAAGAAACCTGATGAGGTTCAACAAGGACAAGTGCAGAGTCCTGCACTTAGGACGGAAGAATCCTATTCACTGTTACAAACTAGGGACCGAATGGCTAGGAAGCAGTTCTGCAGAAAAGGACCTAGGGGTTACAGTGGACGAGAAGCTGGATATGAGTCAACAGTGTGCCCTTGTTGCGAAGAAGGCTAACGGCATTTGGGGCTGTATAAGTAGGGGCATTGCCAGCAGATCGAGGGACGTGATCATTCCCCCTCTATTCGATATTGCTGAGGCCTCATCTGGAGTACTGTGTCCACTTTTGGGCCCCACACAACAAGAAGGATGTGGAAAAATTGGAAAGAGTCCAGCGGAGGGCAACAAAAATGTTTAGGGGGCTGGAGCACATGACTTATGAGGAGAGGCTGAGGGAACTGGGATTGTTTAGTCTGCAGAAGAGAAGAATGAGGGGGGATTTGATAGCAGCCTTCAGCTGCCTGAAAGGGGGTTCCAAAGAGGATGGATCTAGACTGTTCTCAGTGGTGGCAGATGACAGAACAAGGAGTAATGGTCTCAAGTTGCAGTGGGGGAGGTGTAGGTTGGATATTAGGAAACACTATTTCACTAGGAGGGTGGTGAAGCATTGGAATGGGTTACCTAGGGAGGTGGTGAAATCTCCTTCCTTAGAGGTTTTTAAGGTCAGGCTTGACAAAGCCCTGGCTGGGATGATTTAGTTGGGAATTGGTCCTGCTTTGAGCAGGGGGTTGGACTAGATGACCTCCTGAGGTCCCTTCCAACCCTGATATTCTATGATTCTATGAAAAGACTGGTAACTCAGAGGTCTCAGGAAAGACCTCTCAGCTGGAAATAAGAACCGTCATTTGTATCGTGGCCCTCAGGTGGTGGAGGAAGGCACTTGCCAGCAA